TGAGGAACTATTTATTTATGATAATATTGTTATTGATAATATGGTTTATTTAGTGTGTGAATGAAAATAACTCAAGAAGTCAAGAATATATTAAAAATTATACAATGAGTTTGTGTTTGCCACACATTAAAAAATATAAAAATCTTGGTGACAATGTTATTTTCATAAGCATTTGAAGTACAGATTTTTATGAAATTCATCAAAACCATCCAAATCATGCAAATATTTAATTTTAACAGCTAATAAAGGTTTCGAAAAACGCTAAAAGAGCACTTAATATCTTTGTATAGATACTAGATACAACATTGAAATTTGGATTCTGTTTTTAGTTGATTGTTATAACATTAAAATACACATTTTTACGGCCTTTGATTTTTAACTTAATTAAACATGCGCATTCAACTTTTTTTTTGATAGCAACCGCCTATTTTTAACCACTTGATAGTTTTGCAATTTTTTTTTAATGAATTTTGGTAGTTCAACCAACTTTTTAAATCCAAAGTTGATTGTTATAGCAATTCGAAAAAAAACTATAAATGCACTTAATTTTCAGTTTTTTAACTCTAAAMATATTATTCTAAGATTGTTCAGGCTTGACATTTTYACTTTATTTATTAAATTATTTAATTCTCTGATATTTTAAAATGGAATAAAAACGTAATCTACTTAATCCTTATCGTATTTTATCCGGCATTATAAAATTCAACATTAGGTAGATATCTGCCATTTATATATCTAAACATTTATCTGTAAAACAATTTGATACGAAATAAAATAAGATCAAATAAATAAAATGACTTCAACCTTTTCGATATTTTTCATCGTTCAAACACGCACATTTAGTCCATGACAAATATGAATCATCTAGAAAAAAGCCCACATGTTACATATTTATTAGGAGTGTCAAAAAAAAAATAATGCACTTCATGCACCACAAACTTATTCTCAATGTTATCCAAAGTACAAATTTTGATACGATTGGAATTTTAAACGAAAAATAAGATTTTTTTATTACGTTRTAGTTAAAAAAATACTCTTGTAGAGTCTTGAAGGTTTTGCCTTCGCCGTAAATTATTGTTCATTATGAACTACGCTAAATGTTAAAAAAATATTTWGGCTAATATACCTGGGTATTGACTAATAGTTTAATAACAGATGTTAATATTATAATATGAAATAATGCAATTTTTTTATGGTAAAAGTTAGAACAAAARTTTACTAATTTAATAATATGTGATTAATAATTATTTGATAGAAATATCCTTAGAGGCTGACTGATAGCCTATGCTCAGAATCGTATTTCGTGTGCGATGATTTATTAGTGACCCATTCATTAACTAGYGTAGAGATTGTTGAGATCAACAAAATAAATGAATATAAGTTTCAAATCATTGTATTCCCATACCTTACATCCTCATTATCATTGACCTATTTTTTTTTATTATTGTTTAGTTCACTTAGTCAAACAAACCAGTAATATTCTTCTTTCGAATTTCGATTTAGATACATAATTAACATGTTGATTATTTACAAAAAAAGAAATATTCTCTTTTAAAATAATATGGTTCTTAAGTAGGCGCGTTTAAAATTGTTGAATATCACAATTTTAATAAATGCATTATTAAAATAATACATAAGGGACGATCATTGTTGGCGAATATTCCATGTAAACATGTAATTATTTCTTAACAATTTAATAAGTACCGGTGACGACYAACTTTTAAATATTAAATTCCATCAATAATTACCCATTCTATACAACAGTGACTAACTCTCGTTACTAGGATCAGTATAGTATGGTCGTAATACTATAATAGCCGATGATGGTTATTGAGATTTATTTTTCTTTTGGTTGGTAAAATTTTCAAGAAAAGTATGCCACATTTTAAGGATTGTAGTCCGTCCGCGTAATGCTATATCAACTATTATATTAACTATTGCATCGTTGCTGTAGATCGTGTACAAACGACTCAATTTAATTTAGGTCAACAACTAGGTACCTATATACAGGGCGTTTCTTTCAACACCGAACACTCATTATTTCTATTTAACTTAATCTAACCATTACTTCGTTCAGCAGTTTTTATCGTTAGAAAATTTGGGGCACACGCCATCCTACCATTTTTCGTAGCCTTTGTTTTTTTCACTTTTATATAAGTTTTTCGGTCAAATAGCACAGTATCGATTTCTAAATAAATCAAGTTTTACCTTTTTTTTTAAATATTTTTATAATCTAAAGAAGAATAAGCTAATAAGAATTTATTAACTAACCAGCACTGAAAGTTTAGACGAGGGAAAGTCCTTGGTTGTAGTGGACCAGAAAGTATCGTGGTTTATATATGATATATGTGTACTTAAATTAATGAAAAATTCTTATTTTTTTAATAGGTTACCTTTTAAAAATCAAAAGTCGATGAAACGTGTATTCAACGACTATCGGTTGATAGACATGGCACAACAACAAGTAAGGCAATACGAATTAATGTTAATATTACATGTGTAGGTATCAGGTCTTTTCCAAAAAGAAAATTTCAAAAAAAATTAATATATTTACCGAAGTTTAACGATGGAGGATGGCGATTACCTACCTACAACTACTAATTGACGGCCCTTAAGTCACATTGTGACGATGGTGGTTATTAGATTGATTATAAATGTTCACTCGTGATACATCAATTGATATATCGTATGTTTCAATATTCTATTCCGTGTTACAAAGACATTTACCGACTACCTATAAGGTATTCGATCCAATTACAGCACATTTTGATCACATTTGACGTAACTGCTACAGAACGTATACGTCTTTTGTTTACTTCTATTATCGCAAATGCATTGTTTCACCTTGCTCACAAATATTACATTGACTTCTTCTCTTTCTTCTTATTATTAAAAACACTTACAATATCCAAACGAATAGTATCCAAAATGTCCCAGTAAGAAATCCGATTTTGCTTTGGTTATATGGTTTCCTTAAAAAGTTAAAACGTGGGACCTTCTCTCGGAAACATCAGCATCATCTTTGATTTCCGAACCATTTAATAATCGAGCAGATGATCCATTGCAAGGAGATACGTGTGTTGTAATGTTGAATCATAGAAAAAATGATTGCATTACTCAAAGTACAGCATTCAGGATAAGCCTTCACCAATATATGCACCGAAAATCAATAACATTTATTGTGATTGAAGATCTCATTGTTTTCTGTCTTTTCTGAAAACAGTATCAATAGTCCGATCTTAATAAAATTTCTTTTATATAGGTACGTTCGTATATTTTATATGTGACGAGATCTAAGTATAAAAAATCTTATTCGAATTCCAGTGGCCAAAGTTCGCTGTTTTCCCCTTGAAATTGGGTAGATAAAAATAGATTTAGATTTCAGGTAAAATCAAAAAATGAAAATTGTGATTGTGTATAATACAGTAATAACACAATGTATAGGATATTATCGCGCTTCGTGTTGTTTGCGACTCTTTTTTTTTTTTATAGAGATATAACATTTTTACATTTATTTATTTAAACAACTAGCAGCTTGGTATTTATAAAAACTTAAATCAATAAAATATATGAATTATGGTTCGTTAAATATTATTTGCACCT